GGATCTATTCTCGCCGCGCTGAAGGCGATTGTAAATGTCATCGGCATGCACAAGATGACCCCACCGATCAAGGATTTGTTGCCACGTTTGACCCCGATTTTGAAAAACAGACACGAAAAGGTTAGTTGGTGATGATTCAGTTTGTTATTGACTACGTTCCATTGAAATGGTTTATTTTTTCCTTGTAGGTACAAGAGAACTGCATTGACTTGGTGGGCAGGATAGCTGATAGAGGAGCCGAGTTTGTATCGGCGAGAGAATGGATGAGGATTTGTTTCGAGTTGCTTGAGTTGTTGAAAGCTCACAAGAAGGCTATTCGCCGAGCTGCAGTCAATACTTTTGGTTATATTGCCAAAGCCATTGGGTAAGTGAACTTGGATTCTTCCGTCGTTCATTTCTCACGGTGTATCTCTTAAATCTTCTTGTAAAGAAAGCAAAACTTTTGAGAGTTTCAACGCCCCGTGTCCCCAAATAATGTCTGCTCGTTGCCATTGAATACCGTACTTACTTGAATACCACGCGCCCTCGAATAAGACGCGCACCAGGGATTTTCAGTTGGACATTTTTTTTTTAATTTCTATCCCCAAGTAAGACGCGCACCCCACTTTTTAGTGACTCTAGAACTAATATTTCGAAGATACGAACACCGAAATTCGAATTTCGACATAATTGATCATAGATTAGACTGATTTTTGAATTTTTTCAGTTAAATAACTTTTTACTTAAACTTGGTTCAAAATAATCAAGTTATAATGACACACCTAAATACTGTATCTGGATAATGTGCATATCCGCATATGTCGCGCGTGGTACTCGAGTAAATACAGGTAGATTTCCCCTGAATTTTCTGCATTGTCTTAGGGTTGAGTTAGTTGCCAAGTGAAAAACTGGTTCTTTTTTTTCACGTTTCGTCCTGCATAGGAAGACGAAGTATCTGGAAAAACATCGCAGATGCAAATTTTGTTGTAGGATTATCACCAAACGGGTTAACTTTTTTTTTAAGGTTTTCTCTCCATTCCATGAATTGTTGTCCGAAACCCTTGTCATCATGGAACCATTTAAATCTATTTCACAGCCGAGAACTGAACGCGATTACTGTTCTGAGTATGTATTATTGGCCGCATTTTCCTCGGAAATTCCCGATTTTTTCTGCGGGCTATCCAATTTTTTTTTTGCCTACGGAAATTGAATACGTAAAGTTTGGTGGTGATGGTGACTTTTTCATGAGAAAGGTTGGGCATTTATGGGAGAATATACTTTTTTTTGGATAAAAATTGGAAACAATTTTTAGCTGCCGTCAGCACTTATGCAGGAGGAGCATTCGTAAGATATGTGCGATCACCCCATCTCTTCCGAAGAATGGTAGCTCATTTCACAGGAAATGTGCGAACAGTACATTAAAATATTTGAGAACGCAGGAAGAAGTTATTGTACCCTTTCGATCATGGAAATCATTAGTACAGTATTCAAAAACTTATCAAGAAGTTTTTGAATTGGAGTCCAAGCAATGAGTGTGCCCAGTTTGGTGAGAAGAAGCCCGATAATGACGCGGGTTTTATTCATTCTTTCTTTGGTTTCTAGTCCACACGACGTGTTGGCTACTTTGCTGAACAATTTGCGAGTGCAGGAGAGGCAAAACCGTGTTTGCACGACCGTGGCTATTGCTATCGTCTCGGAAACATGCTCGCCGTTCACGGTG